AGGAGTCAGGAGAGGCCTCCGGCTTACATCTGACCTATGGACTTGAATTGGACAGGACTTACCTACTTCTACAACTCTGTAAGCCATTTCTTGATATACATCTCTTTCTGTATACACACTCATACAACCATCCTTGATTTTGATTATCTAGAGGGCCCAATCTTACACAAGTTTATAGCTATTCTGTAGAGTCATGAGTGGTCATTGACTTCAGGGCGGTGAGTGAGTGAGTGAGTGGTTCAAATATAATGTACACAGACCTATTTGTTAAGTTTTAAACTGGACAAAGACAAGACGAAGATAAAAAGTAATCATAAAAAAACTGAATCACCAATATGAGACCGTAATGGTGTGTAAGGATTCACAGCCACATGGACAAATTACAAATCATGGAAACCGAGGAAATGCGTCACAAATCCGTGATTGGTGGCAAAGCAATTCATCACAGCCTTAGGTGGGATTATAGAAACAGGGCCCGTGGTGGGAATATTTACACTATTGAAGATGAGAAACGTTTACAGGTTGGATTGGTTCTGGGGCCTTCCAACCATCTTGGGTGTGTGGTTAAGCTGCGAGGGGTCCGGGAAAGCCCGTCGCTGTGGTCAAAAACAGAGACCAGGTTCATTCAGGAAACTCTTACGTTTATTCCTGCAAGTGCTTGTAGAAGGAAAACAGCCAGGTCTCTCCTGTGAGCTGTCTCAGAGTTCAGTCCTGAGCCCACAAAACACCATACAAGGAGCAGGTTTGTCACACTGATTACAAGAAGAGATTAGCAGGTTTGTAACAGTGTCACAAGATACATTTGATACTCGAAGAAAGCAGGTTTTGCAATGATCATTAAGAAATTATCTCGATCTACATTTCTCCAGTCTAATGAGACTACCCTCCCCTGAAGTTTCATGCACCCTTGTTTATCAAAACTGGGACAATGCTTTGTTTCTGGCTTATCTTTATGACCCTGTTAGCCTCATTCCTGAATGGGAACAGCCCTGATGACTAAGTTTAAAAGGAATTGTTACTGTTACATTTTGGATTTTTAACAAACTACACCTTAAATTGTTATATTTCTAGTATTGATTAACAGCAAGCTAACTCTTCCACTTCCCTATGTAACTTTCCTCATTCTTCATCTAAATTATCTCATCTTTTCCTAGCCGGCATGTAGATATCCTATCACAAGACGGCAATCTCCTTCAAGACAGCTCTTGAAATGTTCTTTTTGACCACGAATGGGATGCTATTCCCATTGACCTTGTCATTTCGAATGTAGTAAATCATGATCCTAATGACTAGGGTAAGTCAAAAGGCATCGCTATGAAGGTCCCAGTTATGCACACGCAGGTTTATTTCCACAAACGTGTTTAAATAAGTCCCTGCAGTCAGTAGATGACTGCAGACACGGTCTCTCAGCTACGCACTGGTCTCAGTCGCAGTGTGTCTTCACAATAAAAATCCATCCCAAAGACTGACTCCCAAGGGATCTGCAAAGCCACTACGCTCTGTGCCTTACACCATTCCAGTCACTGACCTCTCCACATAAAGTGACCAGGTCCCTTGGGCACCAGGGAAATAGGTGGCACGCAAGAAACCAAAGTGGCCTGCAAGCTTTTTGATGATTTGTGTTCCCACAGACTACTTCCAAGACTTCCCTTGGAGAGGAGGGGAACACTCCAAGGGCAGAACCCCAAGTGAAATCCAAACCCAGAGAAATCGAATCTGGAGTCGTAAGCTCATCCTGCCCTCCCACCCCCACCCCCACCTCTTGTTAACAGTCTTCCATTCTTTTTTGGTTTTTCCTTTGCATCTTCTTTATTTTGTTGTTGAGAACATGCACAGCAAGTTCGGCAGACTCTACACATAGAGTGTAGTGACATTGAATATATGATGTAGTGTGCACGCATTCTCACCCTCCTCTTCTGAACAGCTCCTCCCCCATGTATGTAAATCCATGACCCCTAAGGTGCCTATTCATTTTTTCACATTACTATTGCCCATTTGATCCCATATAGATAGTTCTTGAAAAGAGTCTAGTGCTCAAAGCAGACATTCTTCACAAGTTAAACGAAATTATTATTTGGTTTTAAAACTTCAAGGGATATTTTTGGTTTGAAGTTTAAATATTATCTCAAGGCAATAGTTTCAGGAGTTCATCCACCCTCCATGGCTCCAGAAAGTGTAGTGTCTATAAGACCATGAAATTCTATTGACATTTCCTCTTTTAATGAGGATACTTCTTGGACGCTGTTAATCGGCGTTCCATCACGGTAGCCTGGCACCAACCAGTTCTTCTAGTTTCATGACAAATAAGGAAGTTGTTCATGGAGGGAATTAGTCACACATTCTATGCTCTCTTCCTCTTCCTGACTTTCCCTGTTGCTCCAGGCCAATGAGTGGACCCCACATGACTGCACAAAAGCTTTAAAGACCCCAGGCAGCACATGGTGGGATACTAGCACCAAAGGGAAAAGAACTGGGACTTATTCCCTGACAGGTACAGAGGGTGGCTGGCCGAGGAGGGCTGGCCGAGGGGTGGCTGGCAGAGGGCGGCTGAGGAAGGAGGGCGGCTCCCGTGAGGGCGGTGGACAAGAGGGCAGCTCCCAATAGGGAGGTGGCTCCTG